AACGGTGTCTTGCCACCTAATAAATTACCATGAGTTGCGAACTGAAATGGTTTTCAATGTATCACAAGCATAAGTTGTCCTGGGCCAGATGGGTATGAAAATATTATGAAATCTGTTAGTTACAGTTTTCCTCATGGATTGATAGAAACAAGGGTTATAATCAAGTGGTTCTACAGGCTCTATTGTGTAGTTTCCCATAAGATAAAATGTACAAATGGCAAACTAAAAGACAACTTGGTGAACAAAATGGGAACAACTTTAACTGAAGAATACGGTACAACAACAAGTACCACATCAACAACAGCAGCAATAACAAATCTCCTCTACCTAGAGGGCTGTAGCCTTTGCCTCGCTTTCTACTCCATACTGAACAGCTTCTGTGGTACTTCCTGTAATGCGTTCCTCTCAACATGATGTGAAATAACGGGGTAATCGTAAAGCTGACTGAAATTCATCCTTGGTAAATTACGGAGATTGCTCGCCCATCCAAGGGCTGAAATCCTTACCATAGTTATTTCGTATCTGAAGTCGCTCTGGTTTTGTTCTAGGTCCTTGACATCTGTAAGAAGTTCTCGGTTTTCTCCACTACTCGATGGAAGGACGTGTCACATCAGCAAAGCATAAACTTTCAACACTAAGTCGGCTCTAATTCAGCCCGTCGATTTTAAATTATATTTAAAATCTCCCTGAGATCTTTTGCTTCGAGTTTCTGGATATTATCTGATGACGAAATTTTCATATTGTTGTGTTAAAGAACTATTTTGAAGGGAGAAATCGCATTGAAAAGTGCATTAGATCGTGAAATGTCAGCAGATCAGCTGTTTGAAAGAACTGCTGGGTCAACCCCAGCCTCGTTATCGTGTGTGCGCGGTTACTAATCCAATATGGCACCGGTAACTGTAAGGTCTAAAATTAACCGATCAAGTTTCCACCTGAAAACACTCCATTTGCTCGTACACAACATCATCCAACGGCCACGAGATGTCAAACAATACAACCACTGCTCCCATCTTCTTCGGCTGATTCCCCAACTTGTGGCCAAAATATCCTCCTCCAGTCACAAGAATTGTTCTTCCTTGGACCATACCAATATCCGTTCACAGATTTGCCTTTCGTTCCCGCCTAAATAAACGAGCCCGCATTCAACCAGCTGCAACGTACTCACGCAACGGGCTACAAAACCAGTAGGGTGGTGTAATCGTCACACCTTATAGCCGAGGAGGGGTTTTTGCCTCCTTTCCCCCCCGCCTCTACCGCGCCCAGCCCAATGCTGTCACGTGATAGTAAATGAACTGATCAAAGTAACTTATCAAACCGAAAGTCAGACTGAGGAAGGCGGAAATCGGCGTGAAATACTACTACTAGTGTTTAGCGGTGTTTAACCAGTTTATTTTTCTATAAGTAATAGTTTCAGCTTCCGTGAAGTGATTTCAGTTCATCATCACAGGGTGACACTGAACGGAATACGTACAGGACCTTCACTTCCCGAACATACCGACAAAGACTTGGTAAGCCAACACATGTTAACTTTTGATGCATGATGCCTAAAATTCTTACTGAAATGAAAAATGTTGGTAAATATCTGAGAGCAACTTATCACCTCTATTTTCGAACATCTTTTTTAAGACGAGCATTAGACAAAAACGTCTTCGCGGGTGTCTCTTGCAAAAAAATTGCACTGAAAAAATTTAGGAGTGCCTATCTATTCCAGAATTCATGACAAAAATCTTGTGATTACATACTGATCAGGCGGTGTGCCCACTCCGATTGCATTGAATTATGGTGGGCTCCTGATTCAGGCAAAAAGACTCCAGATGACAAATGATTACGTTTCATAGCTGCGAGCAATATCGAGCTTATAAAATCAGAGAATTTTCTTAGATGAGTCACACACATTTCTTGGTCAGCCGATAAAACAATGAATGTTGGGTCAAGTTTGTGCTTATTTATCTGTATTTACACTCAAATCAACAAGTTTTAACAAGAATAAAGAGGAGGAATATTTCATTCAGTTTGTCTGGTAAACAAGGAAGCTTTGTCTGAAATTTTATTAAACTTGAACTTTCGACAACACGCGCCAAGATCTAACAGTGGGCTAGATATCTTTTAGAGAGAATGAATAAAACGAGAAAAGGCATCAATTAGAGTGTTTTCCGCCGTTTTCTGAAGTCCTCGAATGGCCGTTTTTATGCTAGAGACGTTAAAGTTGTTAAGTCTCGAGACAACTTTAACGTCAAGTGTAAAAACGGTAATTACCGTACAACTTCGACATACCGCATTCCTTATGTTCTAGAAATAACGGTAAAATTCCAAGCCCCATACTACATTATGCATTCAGTTCTTGGATAAAGAAAACAATGACAAAAACAATAGATTGCCATTGGGAAAACAGATTTGTTTTACAATAGTATGGGGCTATGCGGAAATTTTACCGAAAGAATTTCCAATGACTCATGCTACACTTAAAGGTCATACGGAGTACGAGAGAAAAACATACGACTTTTTCTAGAGAACATCAAAATATTTTCTTGGCCTATTAAGATGGATAAAATTCTCGCAAGGCCACATACTATTGTTAAACAAATCTGTTTTCCCAATGGCAATGTATTGTTTTTGTCATTGTGTGCTCTGTTCAAGAACTGAATGCATAATGTACTATGGGGCTGTGCGGAAATGTAACCATTCTAGTGTAAACAATTCTAGATTTTTCTTGTTTAAGATTAAACTCTTCGGTTTTAGATCCTTCGTGTTCGGTCTTGGGTTATCATTTAATCGGCCGCCCTGGCGGAAAGTGTATTGGGTAAAATTTCTGCACAGACCCATACTACATTATGCATTCAGTTCTTGGATAGAGAAAACATTGACAAAAACAATATATTGCCATTGGGAAAACAAACAGATTTGTTTAACAATGGTTTGGGGCTATGCGGAAATTTTACCCCAGTTCTACTATAATATTTAACTGCACTGGACAAGAGAAAGAATTTCGAAGGACTCATGCCACACTTTAAGGTCATACGAAAGGCGAGAGAAAAACGTACGACTTTTTCATGAGAATATCAAAATATTCTCTTGACTTATTAAGATGGGTAAAATTCCCGCACAGCCCCATACTATTGTTAAACAAATCTGTTTTCCCAATGGCAATGTATTGTTTTTGTCATTGTGTGCTCTGTTCAAGAACTGAATGCATAATGCACTATGGGGCTGTGCGGAAATTTTACCCCTTGGGTTATCATTTAAAGTGCCTATGACACGAATTTTTTTTGTATTTTCTGGGTGATAGCGATATTTTAAATTAGAATTAATCTACCTTAGCGCCTGGCGAGATCTCCTTGTCCATTTTTTGGTGTATTGAAAGTACGATTTGGCGGCCAAAAGTGTCCCCTTTCAGCGCGTGGCCAAAACGATCATATTACATAGCTGTGACGTAGAAAACTTTGAAGACACGTCGGCAACTATAGTAGAGAGAGGAGAAATCCAGAGGAAAGGACGAATGTATTGCCTGACCGGAGCGTCAAATGATGTTAGCTGCAAGAATAATACACATATACCAAGTATTTCTATAACTACTTTCTAAAGGATATAATTGTGTGGCGAAAATGGATGCGTTTCGATCGTTGTCGTGAGGAGATTTTACTCTAAAGAAACACAAGTTCTATGGAATTAGATGGTAGCGAATCCAAGTGGTGTGTGAAAGTCGATGCGTACGAAATATTCATTTACCCATTGGGCGAAATGAGTCATATAGCAATGCTACACTTAAACTGAAGAGGCCTTTGTCTATTAAAATTCCTCTTTGAGATTAACTTGAATCAGATTACTATAAACTCACTCGTTTACCGTTAGACCGGATCGACGATGAGAGCCTCTGCCTTTGCATTCTCTGGGGAAAGGAGCAACTTGCAGTGAAACTGCCAGATGACTTCTCGGCGAAAAATCATCGTGCCTCGTGATACAGCTGATTCTTTCGTCAAAAGTTCGCTTTTGGTTTGTTAAGGGAAGTACTCTACAGCAACGAAACTCTAGACCCCTGACCGAGGGAACCTTCGCCGCACTTATTGCGAAGGAATGAAATGTTTTGGCGACAGAAACGAACACACTACTCATTCTTAACATAGATTTCGCCATAGAAAACAAAACACAAACGCAATAAACTAAATATTCGGTAAAGGAAGTTTTGTTCTAGTCTTGATCTGGAAACCGCAGGCGAGAAACCGCCTTTGTCAGTCTTCGTCGAAATCTTCGTTTGATGCATGCGGTCCTCCTTCGTAGGGCTGAACCGTACTCGCAACTTCCATTTCTTCTTTGCTACTTGAGTACGATGTATCACAACTCTCGTTAGAGGCTGCTGAAGGTAGGTATGCATCGCTATCGGTCATCATTTCAAGAGTATTTCAACGCCGATTGATACAAAATTATAAGAGATGTGAGAGATTTGTAAGTGTCAACTGAGAGTTCTCACAGTTTTCTACGTCATCACCCGCTAATTCGTTACCAGCCCACGGGACATTTTTTAAGATAAAATAAGTGCACTTTAGGGCCCGAAAAAACCGTGTTTTGGGCTTTTTAAAATTTTTCTTCTATCGGAATTGGTTTGTACATATGATAAGCTAAATATTTACGCAAAAAAATTTCGTGTCATGGACACTTTAATCTGTCGCCCCGGCGGAAAATATATTGGGTAAAATTTCTGCATAGCCCCATACTACATAATGCATTCAGTTCGTGGATAGAGAAAACAATGACAAAAGAATACATTGCCATTGGGAAAACATATTTGTTTAACAATAGTAATAGCTTTTAATAATTATTTACAGGAATGGCATGCAGAATTTATTCAAACCCTGCAGGTTATGGCTAAACAATATTTGTGAAATCTTTAGCACTTTTAAAATTACTTTTTTTCAGCACTGAAGTACCTCTCTTCTGCACTGTTACCTGAAAACTTCATTTCTCTTGCATGCTTTTCAGAAGGAAGAAATTTTACCTGATCAAAAAGGCAATATGATTACATGCCAGCAACAGTAATTTTCAGTGGTCATTTAATACAGTGGGCTACAGGTAGTAATTGAACACATTTTTTTGAGAATAAGTAATGAAAGTAATTTATTTTCTTGTGATTTTTATTTTAGCAACTTCCTGTCGAACATAAAAGGTTCCTGTGATGTCAGGACAATTAAAGGTAACATATCAAACAACTGCTTCTTAAAATCACAGCTGCGACCAAGTTGTTTTGTTCATTCTGATGTCATTTCATTTTAAGGAAACTTCATTTTTATCAGTGCATCCCTGCCAACTCTCTCATTTCAGGAGCAAATTACTTTCCTGCAGATAAGAAACTTTGCAACTACATATTACTGGTATTTACCAAGCAGGAGGTTGATGTGGAAAAAAAATTTTTAAGAGAGTGAAATAAATTCACATCTGTTTAAAATTAAGAGTCCACATGTATGACTGTAGTAAGTTTTATTTTCGGATGATCAAATCTGAGGAAAAATATGTTCTAGGTCTCATGTTTCACACTTTTTTTAGATATAAAATGATCATACAAGTTGGTTAGAATTGGATGATTTAAAGTTTGCTATGTTGTGCAAAACCAAACTGTGAACATTTGACAAGGAAATACTTGTGCGTAACATTTTTTTGTGTGATATCAAACAGTTACAGATGCAGGTCACTTCTTAGGGTATGAGATTAGACAGTTGTATCACACTAATCCCAGTATCCACAACAATTGTTCTTTACTGTCTCACAGAAATTTTTTACAACTTTTGCTCATAAGTTTACTGAGTTTGTGATGTTGCCAAATGAATTGAAAATTATAAAGTGTCTTTCAAAAGTAAAATAATTCATAAATGAGTTTTTTTATATTCATATACTGTAAATTGTATTTTCCTAAATCACAAAAATCTTGTGCTCACAGAACAATGCTGGGGAGAGAAAACTGAGAGTAACCCTTTTGAGTGCGGAATGGAAAACTTCAAGCAATGGAGACTTGACAACCATCAACCGAGAGCTAGCAATACAGATGGCTAAACATCCTAATGTGGAAGTCAGTGTTTTCTTACCTCAGTGTAGTGAAGAGGACAAGAAAGATGCTGATAGTTACAATGTTAAACTCATTGAAGCAGCTAAACTGGGTGGTTTTGAACCAGTTGATTGGCTAGTCTCTGTACCTGAGGGCCATGCTATGGATTGTGTTATAGGGCATGGAGTAGCTCTTGGTCGGCAAATTCAACTCATAAAGAGAAATCCAAATTACAGTCATTGCAAATGGATTCAAGTTGTCCATACTGCCCCTGAAGAAATTGGCATGTTCAAAAACATGTCTAAATGTCAACGAGAGCAGCAAACAGAAATAGAATTATGTGAAATGGCAGATCAAGTTGTAACAATTGGCCCCAAGCTAACTGATGTATATAAGCGCCAACTCAGAAAACAAGATGTTTTTAACCTGACGCCAGGCGTTTTCACAGAATTTTCAGATGTGCAGCAAGCAAGTGACATAGGAAGAATATTTTGTGTCTTGGTAATTGAGAGAGGTGATAGTGATGATTTTGATGTCAAAGGGTATGACATTGCAGTGAAAGCTATTGCTGACCTAAAGGATAAATCTTACCAACTCAAGTTTGCTTCCAAAAAGAGAGGAATGGAAAAAAAAATGTTAGTAGACATGTTTCTTCGTTGTGGCATTGATCGAAATCAGCTACGTATCAACAGTTTAGATGAAGACAGGGAAGCATTAGCAAAGTTATTCTCTGTGGTGGATATTGCCATATTGCCCTCAAAAACTGAGGGATTCGGGTTGAGCGCTCTTCAGGCCATATCCGCTGGTCTTCCAGTACTTGTCAGTGGTAACTCAGGAATTGCAGAAGCCTTAAAGGAGGTGTCTAATGGGTCACAGTGTATAGTGGATTCAGAGGATCCTGCAGTCTGGGCCAGAGCAATAAAGGCTGTGCATAAAAAAACAAGGAATGTACGACTTGAAGAGGCTAAGAGTCTTCGTGAAAACTATTTGCAGAAGTTCAGCTGGGAGAAGTCTTGTGATGTCCTTGTTGAAAAGATGTACAATCTTGCATTTGGTAAGTTTTCTCATCTTGCATCAGGGATGCAGAAGATTTAATCAAATTTGAAATAATGACAAAGCTCACCTGTTGTATGTTAAATATTCAATTTACCAGTTAGCAGTTGTTTCTAAATGCTATAGGGACAGTATAGTCTTAAGGAATGTGACAAATTTACAATTAAGAAAACTGGTAATCCAAGGCTACAAGTTGGTAATGGCCAATTCACAGTAACTGTTATTAATAATAGTGCTGACCAAAAATTGTCATTTGTGACAAGTTGATACAAGACTACCACATTTAGATGCATTCCAATCTTTACTTCAGGAAACAAGCAAACTTGGAATTCAGAACATGAGAATGGAGGGGCATGTTCATCCAGTGGTAAGAGCCACAGAGAATTAGAACTAACTGATCATGTTGTTCAGTAATGTAATGTCTTTGCAAATTTTGTGGAAAATCAATGTTCATATTATTTTGATATTTAGTCATTACCTATAATGTAGGATTCAGTTGCCCATAATCAGGGTGACTTCACCAAACCTTTATCAAAGTCATTTTCCAAAAATCTGAAATCATCAGGCTTCTTATGTTTTTCTCCAGATCCTGGGTTCATTTCATTGCAGCTCTAAAATTAAGTTAACAAAATAAGAAATGGATGATCATTCTAGAAATTCGAGTTCTAAGACAGTCAGAGAGCCATATTTTCCTTTACTACTAGCGAAAATGAAACATGAATTGATATGCCTGTACGTCCTCACAGAATATGTCATGTTGATGGCATTCTCCTAAACTTTTGGATATATTGGTGAAAGGGAAATTTAAAAACTTGCATTAATCTATTATAGAAAGTTTTTGTAAACAGTAATAACATTTATGTGATAAATGTTGGAAGAATTATCTCAGTACTATAAAAAAATACGTCAAATTCTCGAAAAAAAATACCTCACCTCGCTTCCACAGCGTATTGCTTGTTATCTGACCGCTTAAAAAGCCCTTTTCTTATGTACGTTGAAAACCTCGAAATGAACAACTCGCTCAAATGGGCTCTTTTCATCAAAGTAAGCGGTCAGATAACAAGCAATACGCTGTGGAAGCGAGGTGAGGTATTTTTTTTTGAGAATTTGACGTATTTTTTTATTCCTTAGAGCGCTCGTAAATATTCCTATACAAACTCTTATAATTCCGCCATAACCGTTATTGCGTTAGATGATCATCTCACAGCTGGAGCTTGGGCCGCCTGTGGTGTGACAACAACACTGTGGAGGGTTGTGTCCTCGTGTACCGGTACACAAAGGAAGGAAACATTAACGAACTGCGTCATAACTCCATGTATGGTTATGAAAACAAAAGGAATTCCCTCGTGTACCGGTACACCAGGACAGCCCCCTGTGGAGACTCATCGTGTCAATCGGTCAGATTTTAAAAAAAAAACTTGGCTTTCTCAACAAGAGCTTTAGTAAAGAAAAACAAATCTTTTTATTTCCAACAAAGTTTATAAGGATCTCAAGGCAAATAAAGCAAGGTGAACATCGCCAATTACCAAAAAAGCTTTAGACGCGAATGAGTTGGTGTGTGAAATATGAGAATGGTGAAAAGACGGCGGCCCAATTATTGAAATCGATGTCGAGATTAAACGGACCGTCCAGAGCAGAATAATTGCATGATATGCATAGCTTTCACATGTTCACTTGATTTCTATAATTTATTAAATCTTATCGTAAATCAAACGTTCTCGATCATGAATAAATCATCATTTAAAGTTAAAAAATATGTCGTTCCGCCTGGTTGTTATGGTTGTCACACAACAACTCGTTCGCGCCTGAAGCTTTTTTGGTCATTGGCGATATTCACCTTGCTTAATTCGCCTTGAAATCCCTATAATCTTTTGGTAAATAAGAGGAATTTTTTTTTTACTAAAGATCTTGTCTTGAAAGTCAAGTTTTTTTTTTAAAAATCTGACCGAGTGACATGATAAGTCTTTACAGTGTTGTTGTCACACAATAACTCGTTCGCGACTAAAGCTTTTTTGGTTAATGGCGATGTTTACCTTGCTTTATTCGCCTTGAGATCCTTATAAACTTTGTCGAAAATAAAAAGAATTTTTTTTTTCTTAAGATCTTACCGAGAAAGCCAAGTTTCTTCTTTAAAAAATCTGACCGATTGACATAATGAGTCTTTACAGTGTTGTTGTCACACAATAACTCGTTCGCGTCTAAAGCTTCTTCGGTCATTGGCGATATTTACCTTGCTTTCTTTGCCTTGAGATCCTTATAAACTTTGTCGGAAATAAAGTAATTGTTTTTTATTTAAGATCTTGTCTAGAAAGCCAAGTTTCTTTTTTAAAAAATCTGACCGATTGACATGATGAGTATTTACAGTGTTGTTGTGACACAATAACTCGTTCGCGTTTAAAGCTTTTTCGGTCATTGTTGATGTTTACCTTGCTTTCTTCGCCTTGAGATCCTTATAAACTTTGTTGGAAGAAAACAAAATTGTTTTTCACTCAATATCTTTTATTTTCCTATATGTCTATCTTCTAATAAGTTGTACTGGATTGAAGACCAACTCGCCGACGTCCCTACTCGATGTTACATGTCGGCGAGTTGACATTGGCGAGTTGAACCGTCGGCGACTTGACTGGATACCAATATGAACGATGTATATGTGAATATCAAATATATGTTTTCAACAGCTTTTTTAGGTCTATCTTGAAATACAAGTTGGTATGCCTATTTCTAACTATTTGTCAGTAGAAATGCTAATCTCTCTGTGTATACCTTTGTTGTTAGACATTAGGAGTTTCCATGGCGAAAAAGAAGTAGAAGAGCTACTTATGAAACTTCAGGGAATGGAAGGTGAATAAAAGATGCTGTTAAATTAACTTCAGTGGTAAAACTAAACTAAGAATGCTTCTAAATACATCTAGTTCTGATTCAAAATATTTTTTTGAGTGGAAATTACACCCAATTTAGTTTTGCCTCACCCTCTCCTTTGCTGTAAGGGAGGATTAAGATGGTAGAGGCTGGGGTTGGTGAAACAGTTTATATGATAAACTAGAAAGTTTTTTTAATGTTGATCATAAATTATGGCTCAAATAACCGACAGTGATGTAGTTTTGATAGATTTTGTACATGGTATACAGTCAGTTATCTCATGTTGGTTTGACCTGTTATCATGTTTTCATGTCACTAACACTATGAATTGCTCTTTGTACTTTTCCCTTAGGTACCTCATCCGCCCCTGTACTGTCAACTGCTGGTCACACAAAAGAAGTGGGAACAAGACACAGCAGTGTGAACTTTCTGAAAAAGAGAAGTGAGTGAAAAGAGACCCTGAAGGTCAGGATTAGTGAAAACTAAAAATTTGTAGGTAATAAATAGAATGCTCTTAAATTCTTATATCAGTTATGTTAGTTGTTACTTTTCTAAGTACTGTCAACTCCTGGTACTGCAGACACCATGGGGGGGGGAAGTTTAGTGTCTGTAACAAGGAAAGTCTATAATAAAGGGGTACAATAGAAATAAAAGATTGTTTTGTTTGTAAACATATGAAGTAATATGTAACTACACAAACATAAAGTTTCTAACATGGCCTTACAAACTTGAAAAAGATCCTGCAGCAAGCAGGAAATTCTTATGTTTGCACCTGATTGGAGAATGGTTTCTTCATTTTCCTTTATCATAAAGTTGCTTTATATTGTATGAGTCAGGAATTTGGATGAAGTATTTAAGTGTCTGCTATAGCATGAGAGGAAAAACACTAAGTGAAACTTCATCGCAATAGCAAGAGTCCATTACAAAGGGAGTTTATTTCAGTCATTTATTTATGCGTTTCCCTAGGGGCTGGCTTTTGTCTGCAGTGGACATAGGCAGCTTAGTTATGGTGGCTTACTTCCTGACGCCTATTTACACCTCGTCAGAAAATAAGGCAGCTCATTAGTGAGCATACAAAAGCACCTCTTGTTGCAGCGTTTAGATCACCCCTGAAGAAGGCACTAGACAGAAGTGTTGAAATGTTGGGTCTATGAATTGTAACTTCTCAGTTACATTCATTATATCTTTAAACCAGAATAGTATCAAACCATGTCTGATTGTCCACCTGGTTGCAATGTGAATGTTTATATAACTCATGTTAACTTTTGATGCGTGATGCCTAAAACTCTTACTGAAATGAAAAATGTTGTTAAATATCTGAGAGCAACTCATCACCTATTTTGTGTCAGTTTGACCTGTTATCATGTTTTCATGTCACTAACACTATGAATTGCTCTTTGTACTTTTCCCTTAGTTACATTATCCTGCCCTGTACTGTCATTTGCTGATCGCCAAAAATTAAGGGAATTAAGACACAGCAGTGTGAAATTTCAGGAAAAGAAAAGTGAGTGAAAAGAGACCCTGAAGGTCAGGATTAGTGAAAACTAAAAATTTGTAGGTAATAAATAGAATGTTCTTAAATTCTTATATCAGTTATATTAGTTGTTACTTTTCTAAGTACTGTCAACTCCTGGTACTGCAGACACCATGGGGGGGGAGATTTAGTGTCTGTAACAAGGAAAGTCTATAATAAAGGGGTACAATAGAAATAAAAGATTGTTTTGTTTGTAAACATATGAAGTAATATGTAACTACACATTACATAAAGTTTCTAACATGGCCTCACAAACTTGGGAAAGATCCTGCAGCAAGCAGGAAATTCTTATGTTTGCACCTGATTGGAGAATGGTTTCTTCATTTTCCTTTATCATAAAGTCGCTTTACATTGTATGAGTCAGGAATTTGGATGAAGTATTTAAGTGTCTGCTATAGCATGAGAGGAAAAACATTAAGTGAAACTTCATAACAATAGCAAGGGTCCATTACAAAGGGAGTTTATTTCGGTCATTTATTTATGCGTTTCCTCAGGGGCTGGCTGTTGTCTGCAGTGGACATAAGCGGCTTACTTATGGTGGCTTACTTCCTGACGCCTATTAACACCTCGTCAGAAAATAAGGCAGCTAATTAGTGAGCGTATAAAAGGATCTCTTGTCGCAGCGTTTAGATCACCCCTGATGAAGGCACTAGACAGGAGTGTCGAAATGTTGAGTCTATGCATTGTAGCTTCTCGGTTACATTCATTAAATCTTTAAACCAGAATAGCATCAAACCATGTCTGATATTATTATAATTCATGTTAACTTTTGATGCATGATGCCTCAAATTCTTACTGAAATGAAAAATGGGATCATGTATCTTATGGGGGGCCTCGACCGATACATCGGTCGATACTCGATCGAGTACAGGTCGATATATCTGTCCAGTATCGACCGATGTATCGACCGATAGTCCACTTAATGATACTCATGGTGTTGGTCGACATATCGACCGCGATGCTGTCAGTGGTATATCGGTCAACTATCGGTTATATATCGGTCGACTGTCGGTCAAGTATCGGTCGATACTCGATCGATTATCGGTCGATACTCGATCAATATCTTGTTAGCTTAAACGTCCAGTAAGGAACGTTAGTTAACAAATATCTGAATGTTCATTGGTAGCGTTTTGTCGCCATCCAATGCACCATTCTCGGTATAGTGCCAGTCTTATTTGCTCTTTTAAGTTCTCGGTGGAGTAACGGCTGAGTATCGACCAACATAACAGACCACTCAATAGCGATTGTCTTTTAAATCCTTTAGAATTAATTGATGTACATTTCACCAATTTAATTGAAGTAGGTGAAGTATTGAGTTAGGTCAAAAATTTTCTGAAGTAACTCGTATTTTTGCCGGTACTTTAATGTTTGCTTTTCATAGAAAATAAAACGTTTTCCACAACAACAATAACAGCAAGCGTTAGGCAAAAGCTGAAGAGTTCCTTGATGGTCAAAATAAGGCTACATAGGTTATAATGAGAAGATATTACAGAGGCGGATCCAGGCGAGGGGTTGAGGGCGTTGCAACCCCCTCTTTGAACAGTATGTTCTTGTTATTTATTCAACTCATTCATAAAAATAATATGATAAAATTGTTTTATACGTAGTTGGTTCACTTCCACCAATCGACTGATTGTCAAGTTAAGTTGTAGAGGGTAAAATCCGGATAATTTTCCGGGGGGCATGGCCCCGTATCCGACAATCCCCTTTCAAGAACTCTTGGATCCTCCCCTGTATTGTATGAAACTGGCATTTAAACCATACATATTAGCGATGTAATTTTAATAAAATGTAAACCACTGTTTATAAGAACCCCTCCCCCGCTTATAACCCCTCCCCGGTTATAGACCCACCTACTTGTAAGCAGAAAAATTCATTCGATTACAACGCCCCTCCGGATGTAAGCCTCTCTCTAGTTTTCCTTGTTTCCTAAATAATAAGCACTCTCGAAGAACACGGTACTACTCAGTTCAAACAGAAAGATTCTAGAGGAATCAGTTATTATACATGATTGCTGCATCAGTTTTAAAGAAAACACTGCTATCGATGCAGGTCCTGTGTAAAAGATAAATTGTAAAAGGCTAGTAAAAAGTTACATTAAAAGAATTATTCAAACAATTGCAAGTTACACTAAAATTAAGTTATATTACATTAAAAGGAATTCTAAAAAATAAATGAACCTTTTTAAAAATAAAAAAAAAAGCGCGCTTGGTGCATTCTAAGTTAACTTTTTCTAAAATAAGGTCATTACTATTCCTAGTTTTACTTATGTTAAGGAAGTTCGCGCCCATTGTTTCCGCGCATCCTCACTGAGCACGTAATTCATGTCACAACTTCTCACCACATCATACATCAAGCGCGCGCTAAGAAAGGCGATTTTGTGCGGTCTTCGCGTGCCCAAAATTCAAACTCGAGCGCAAATCACAAGCAAATTTTGTCGCTGCCTTCTACTGGCAAAACAAACCGAATTGGATTGCCGCGGAATTGCTGGCGAATTTAATCGCTGATATCTGGCATGGCAGCCGTGTTTCAGACACTTCTTTCCTCTGCTTCAAAGACTGTTTTTTATCCCTATATTCTAGTAAAAAAAAAACCGGACGAAGCGTGAATCGCGCGTTTAGTTTTAATGTATAGTCAGGGTGGATCCAGTTTTTTTTTCTAGGAGGGGGTGCACCACTAAGGAATGGCGAAGCTGACTGGTGACTGGACGTAAACACCAGTTGTATTAGAAAGCTGCGGGTCATGTCAGCGAGGGGTGCGCACCCCCTGCACCCTCCCCCTAGATCCGCCCCTGTACAGATATCCGAACGCTGGGCTCCGACCGGGTTGCCGACTAGGCCTGTTCAAAGGCTACTCCGCTATCATTTCTCTTTTCCCCTTGCCCTCTTAAGTCGGTTTATAAGCTGATGAGTTTTTTGCGGTAGACTTCTCTTTTTCGGTTGTAATGTTCCCCTGTAAATGTAAACAGTGTCACATCACTGCGAAAACTTTCCCGGGAGCGGTCAATACTTCTTTGTCGCAAGACTCGCTAGGGGGTTCTGAGTTGCGTTTCATTGGTTCGCTGCATGGCCGAGCTGACAACCGCTTCAGCGAGGTGCGTAAGCTGTGAATTTTTTCCGAGGTCGAAAACTCGAGGTTTATTTTTGCGTGCACGGTTTGTAGATTTATAGAATTTTAATTAAACTTGGCCAAAATATTCGTCAGATATTAGCGCACCAAAGTTTGCGAGGCTTTTACCGACGTCCCAGCGAGTAACAACAATCAGAAAATCTTCTATTGCCCAAATTCAAAAGGGATTTTCTAAGCAACCGATAGAAATATAGAAAAAGCCTGAGTGATATAGTTCAGTCTGCTCGGATGTCTGCTATAACGCGAAGGCTGGTAATTCAGTTACGGAAAGTACGGTTAGCTTTGCGCTTTAAGGCTGGCGCATGCCTACCAAAACAAAAATGTTAAAATGTATTGATATTTTCGGATTTTACAGTTTATTAGCTTTACAATGATATATGTTACCGTGATTTTCTTTAAAGTAACGCGCACAGAATATTTTCCCGGATGCACCCTTGAAGGTCTCCAGTAATCTTAAAACTATGTGTAGGTTTAACTTAAATGACTATAGAAGGGGGCAGATGAAAAATAAGTAGTCTTTAGATTGAATACAGACATATGACTACTTCAAAAACGCTACTCGTCAATCTTTGCATTTCGTGTACCAACGGGAGTGGCAATATACCACAAGTTTACCATCTTCTCTTTTTGTGGTGTTTATGCGCTTTTAAACGACTAAGTGCATGGTTACATTTCTGTGTTAACGTTTAACCAAGGATTGCGTCCACTGCGACCCTCAGTTGGTCCCAGACAAAACTTAAGGTTTATTTTATATTCTGCAGATGTAGTGGGCGAAAACCAGCGTGTGCAAACTGCCTTAAAGAAAAATAAGGATAGTGTGGCTCGACGTGATAGCGAGAATGAAGACCGCCAGAGTGATGATAGTGTCAAGAGGTCAAGGAACCTGCCTCAAAAAAGTCTAGAGGTATGTAAAAGAATCTGTTCTTGTGCGCAACTTTTGCATAATTGCTACATGTGAGTTCGTTGTATTTCCGAAGACATTGTTAAAAAAGAGATTGCGTAACGGTACCCGCGGGTGACAGTTTAAAATCGTTAAAGTGTACGTACGGAAAGATAAACAACAGGCAAAAGAGTGTTAATTTTTCCGCTTTTCATCGCGCGCAAAATGGCATGGCTTCACGTAAGAGTAGTGCGCTCAAATAAAGGGCATGCATATTGCTCCCGTCAGCGGTTTCAAAAACCTATTTAATTTATAGGGGAGAAACACACTACGGCCAAATATTTTTAAAAGAATGAAAGACGGCGGGTATTTTTGAAAAAAGAAAAACATTTTCCTACAGATGTTCAAGCGGAACAAAAGTTGGGTCATACTGCAGATTTTGAGTTAAAAGCTGTTGAAACTGTTAGGACTGTTAGGGCCCAGTCCCCTTAAACACTCAGCAGTTTAGTTTGGCTATTTATTAACCTCTGTATTGTCGCAAATGTCGCATATCCATGAGGTTTTGGCCGTAGAATATCGTCTTTGAAGTGTACTAAAGAGTTTAAAAGTCGGGCCCTTCTTAGGGTCCGTAACCCCTCAAGACTGTAGCAAGCCACCACCACTAATTTAATGTAATTCTGTTTCTAAGGACTAACTACAGGCCTCAAACTTAGTGGCTTCCACTAAAGGCATGAGGGTGTCCTAGACATCTTGACAAAGAAGAAGTGCAATGAAAGGAGAAGGCAAACTGCTTCCTTTCTAGCCCGAAGAGGATTTTTAAAATACAAAAGATTAATTGAGATGAGCTTAAAACCGGTAGTTTCTTGCGTTCTTTACTACATAGCAGTTTAGATCAAATAAGCTGTAACATTTGCTTTTGGTTTCGTTAATGTAGACTGGTTGAGTTGGATGTTTACGTCAAACGAAAAAAGGCTGCTTAGCTGCTTCCCGTACAAATGTCCTCTATATTGTGATAATTTGCGTTACAATGTTAATTTAAAAAGCACTTTTCGCTGACATTTTTTTCCCAATATTTTCCGTAAATAGTTAACACGAGGCAAATGTTAAATGTTGAAAAGAAAATAATATGATAGCACACGACTAATGCATCACAACAAAAAAATCCCAGTCACGTTTTCCATTATCGTGAAACCTTATCCTCTTTACGTTAGAGACAACGAGGAACAAAATTATCACGTGGTCATGCCTGTTGTTTGTCTCTTACCCTAGACGTCAGCTTAACATTAACCTATGTTTAGACGGAAATACGTAAATCTTTCCTTGGAAAACTTTTTTTTTACTTTTTTTTTCTTAGATCCTATTTACTAACAAATTAACTGTCCCATCCAGTGGCATAATCGGTTTCTGGCAAATTTCAAATATTGTTTCCATTACAAAACAACTTCTTAGCATGACCTAGCACCGTTAATTTCTGTTCATATGTAGTCCAACTGAAAAGTATCATTATTGTCCATCTGATCACGTTGATTTGTAATAAATTCAAGGAAATGAGCCGCTCATTTCCTTGAAGTCGTTACAAATCAACGTGATCAGATGGACAATAAGTAAAAAGCTTCTTTTTTAGTATATCTAAATTTCCAGCTGAAAGTAATAGGATTCATGGCCCAGTTCTAAATTTCAAATTAAAGGACCAGGCACCTTTCAACTTTCAAGCAGGAGGATGTTCAGTTTTCAAAGAGCAGTTCTAGGTTATGAAGTAATTCACCAGATCACTGATTCACTTGCCGGAATCAGTTGTAATTGTCATACATTATTGTCGAGTAAAAATAAATTTATCCTTTCTATTCCCTTTATTGCGTTGAGAGGGTGCCATGGGTCAAAACAACAGCAAAACGTACAACAAAATCAGCATAATCTTATTGTTTATGCCTTTCCTAAGCATGATGACCATCAGATTGTTACGAAAAATTATAAGCAATAAGTATGCACTAAGATTGATAGAACATTATCTCATTGTTTGTGTGTTAATTAAGTTTGCTGAAGAGTAAAAAATAAAACAAAGTCAGATTTTGTTTTTTCTATTTTATTTTGTTAATTGTCCATTGTTAATTAAGTTTGCTGAAGAGTAAAAAATAAACGAAAATGAGAGATTGTTTTTTCTATTTTATTTTGTTAATTTTCCACACAAAAAAAAAAATTAAAAGCGGGATCCATCCACAACAGCGTTAATCAATTGCTGTGGGCCATTGGGGTTTCTCGCCTTTTCTTTCCCCATAAACGACCGATACTCGGTGAGGTATCCCTGATGTGCACTACTATATCAGCATGTTGGCAGATTTACCGAAATATCGGTCGATATATTTTTTGATTTATCGACCGATATATCGACCGATACTAGACACTATCTACCAATATATCGACCGATACTATCGACCGACATATAGACCCATTTCAAGCGTGACGTCACATCACGTGACATTGCGAACTGGAGGACAAGCTTCAGTTGGTCAGCATTAGATTCCATCCACCAAAACCACCTCGGTCGAGAGGGACTGAGATGGAATATTTAATGACATAACCGAAGATTCTCGGAAATCCGCAAGTGATGTAGCCGAACATCCGAAGCTGTAAATCCCATGATTCTTGAGGAACAAACAGAAACAGCATAGCGAGAATTTTAAGTCGCGAACCATTGATGGTAGACATGCAGATAATTTAGGATACGTAAATTCTGTTGATGAGGCGCATAAACTTATTGCGGAATTTGAAACAGGATTGACGACGAAGTTTTCTTTCTTTAAAGCTGTCAAAGGTTTCGGGAACACCGGTGTATATATATATATATATATATATATATATATATATATATATATATATATATATATATATATATATATATATATATATATTGATATAGCTCTTTGACATTACAAAGCTTTGCTATCGCTATTGTGCATTCTCACTAGTTTATCTAGTTCAAGTTCTACCACAATTGTGGAATCATTCGGATTAATTTAAGTCACAAAATACTGGGGGAAGATGCATGAGATATTTAAGGAGCAAAAATTCGTTTTTTACTGGTGTGCCTTTCCTAATTTTGGGAAGGAAAGTGCAATTGCCGGCACGGCATAGATAGAACAGCTGGAGAGAAAAAGAAACGAAAAGATGCAGAAGAAGTACTGTATATAATAATTTCTTTATATCCTCAACCTTTGTGTTTCTGTCAACTATGGCTTGCTAATTCAAAAGGTCAAATACATGAATGGGTCATATGACATTGATCTCAGAATACTTTTATGACAAACGTGATAACAGTTCAATCTTGACTAAATTGAAGATGGTTTAGAAGTTAACAATTATAAGAACTTTTCACTAACATATGCTGCTGACAAAGGAGAAAATATATGCAATTCTGCTTTTTTTGCTTTCTATCAAGCAATCATATGTTGGCTCCTTATCACACTATGACACTTCTGTTTTGTCACATTCCAAAAAATAACTTGAGAAATACACTGTCACTCATCTTACACTGTTATATTTACCTATTACAGAAGGCTGGAAACAAAGATTTTGTTTTCAAGAAAATAAGATTTCTTGTCCAAGACACAAGGAAGTTTGACTGCAAAGCACATATAAAAATGCAATAAATTTTTTTTTCAGAGAACTAGGTAGCTCTACTCATGTATAAACAGAACAAATCCAATTTAATAAATCAGATATGCGGCATGACTCCTTTTCTTCCATCCCCACTCAAAACAAGCAAACACACCTATAGAGGTTCCAGTCTGGTCTGCAAATGAAAAGGAGGAAGGTGATCACTGCAAAATTAAGCATTAGGGTTCTTATTTATAACATATTGATTATTGTATACTGATATCTAGAAATTAAGGTTGCAAGTAGCAGCCAGCTGAGTTATAGTTTGAGTTTTATCAAGTCCATTACTTTGTTAAATTTAGAGTAACCTTGTCTTGAGAGAGGAAAATTGAGGAGCTGTAATATACTAATCATCAATTAGGGACCACAAAGAAAAATTTATTTATAGAGACTTTTTGAAGGAGAGGGTAAGACTTGTGACAAGCTGGCAGACATATAGATAAACTTTACTGCTAAATGGTTTACAATACAAAGTGCTCAGTATTTGGATCAGCTATGGCTCAACTTAAACTTTGCTTTAGCTTCAAGTTTAATCCTTTGTGGTTTCCTTTCTCTGTGTTTATTTTTCAAGTTATGTACACAGAAGAACACAAAAATGACAAGGAATGCTTTTGAATATCAAGAGGCTGGAATAAGCAAGAAACCAAAACTGATTTTTTAAACAGTACAAAGTTAATTTGATCTTCCAATGTTATTTAATTTTAACCATAGAATTTGCTATTTAAATTTATCCCCTCCATTTTTCTGGGTATTGTGAGCAAAAACAAACAATTATCACAAAATGCATGGTATACAATGGTTTGATTCACCAATGTGGCAAAAGGCCTTTCACTGTCTATCCATAAAAGGGAAATAGTTTG